CGAGGTCAGTGACCCCGATTCGATTCGGCTCGATCAACCAACTAACCAATCGGCAACGCGGAAAAGAGGCAACAATAGGTGCGATATATTCGACTTCAAACGTGCACTTCTCGGTCCAAATGCTTTTTTTAATATAGGACTAGCACAACACAGGCGCGCGCTACGCGCACGCTTTTGTTATTTTTATTTAACGTGTCAGTGAACACAACCTGTCACCGCGATGACAGATAGTATATACGTCTTATAAACTATATAATACACATATGAGAAATGTCAGAAATAATGCATGAAAATCAAACTCAAAAAATAGTGAGAGAGAGAAGTGAAAAAACAACACGTGACAGGGAAAAGAGTAAAAAAAAAGAATATTGTATATATTATATGTAATATTCTATATCTATACTATATACACACACATACGCATATATGTATACATATATATACCGTAATCACGTGACCGAAGTCAGTAACACCGCCGCGGTCGCACGACCGAGGTCATTGACCCCGCCGCGGTCGCGCGGCCTAGGTCAGTGACCCCGTCAATGTCGCGCGGCGGAGGTTAGTGACATTACTGTAGTATGTATATAATACATATAAAGTATAATATTATAAATATATAATAAATTATATATATAATATGTATTATTTAATGTTATATATATTATAAATTACGGTCACGTTATTTTCTCGTGTTGTTTTCTACTGTTTTTTGTCACATTACTTTAGTTACGTTGGTAATTTTTTCTACATATACGACAATAAACACTGTAAAATAAATAAATAATATTTTTAGTTTGTGATTAAAATAAAATTTATAAAGCAAAGAGCAGCAAATGATGATGTAAAAGGAGATGATATCTGACTACACTCTATGAATTCTGATGCTGCTCGCTATATATAAAATAATATTCCTTTTCTGACTATTACATCTTTTCTTGAATATCACATTTATTTTGTGTGGAAAGTTGCAATGGGTTTTTTATCCTTTTCTGTTTTCCTTTCTCATCTTCTTCCGGTTTCATCACGAAACCGGTTATTTTAAATTCCAAAAGTAATCAAATTCACGCTCGCAATTATACTCACATACTTGAAGATGATCATTTGGGCTTGTGCACATAGCACAGAATAGAACCGTATGCTGTGGATATAGCGCGGAATAGAACCGTGTCCACATTTAGATATAGCGCACGCACCGACAAGTCGCTCGTGGATATGGTTACGTAGTTGTCAATGTGCACCACCTATGGATATAGCGCTAGTTTACGGTGCGGTTAAGCTATCGCAGAAACTCATATGGGTCTGACCGCTCTTAGTCTTCTCTCTGCACTATGGCTAGTAGCCACCATAGACGTAGAATATATAGACTGCGCGTTTGGCTAAAAAGGTGTTTTTACAGTTGACAGAGACAACTTTGAACAGTAACTCTTTTTCTGTCTATCAATGTCTGCGGTGGGATCAGGGCTTATTGTTTTATACCACCTATAATTTGCCATCACCCCTTAATCTCATTCCTCTTCATCCTCACTATTTTTCTATCCCCACTTTTCCACTACTATTCTATCAATCAGCGAAGACTTCTTTTTTCCTTACTACTTCGCTAGACAAAGATGAGGCTACTGTTCAACCATATATGTAATACTCCTATATTGCTCGTTTGGCTTGGGCTGTGTTCAGTTAAGCAAGATGGAACGAACTAATGCAGGAAATGCAGGAATTGAAACTAATGAAACTAATGAAACTAATGAAACTAATGAAAGAAGTGAAAATAGTG